GTACATACATATTTAATGTCTAATGTTGATAATATTAAAAATACTGAAGAAATACATACTATATATAATAATATTTAATATACATATATACATAAGTATACAAAATACAAAAACTAATATAAAAAATATAAAATTAAATGGAACTATTGGCACGTATAACGTGGGTGACATGACAAATTCGAATCAAAAACAAAAGCAAAAAACAAAAACAAAAAATATCGACAAAGTTAAATAAAATTTTGCATATATACAAGTACATACATAAAAACAAAATATTAATTATATTTAATAAAGTGTCTGCGTTTATTTATTTTTTTCTTACTATTCAAATCTTACATTGAAATTATAATTGATAACAAAGGTGTTATAATAGACCAGACAATTTTTTTTTCTTTTCTATTTTAATTCTAAATTCAGTTTTTGTACTTTGATCGCGAAATATTTTGATAACAATTTTATAAAACTATTTTAGTTAGTTAATGTAAGGGAAATATACAAAATAAAATACACATGCATGTGCTTGTATACATATAGTACATATAGTGTTAAAAATTAAGTGAAGAAGTACGCAGCATGAGGCTGATCATGTATACATAATATACTTTTGAAATATGTGGAAAAAGTCACATATTTAATTTTGAATCAGCAAATACATAAGTACATATGTATGTACATAACATGCAGGGTGATTCAGAAAGGTATACAACAACATATATCATTGATTAGAGGATCGAAAATGGGTAAAACTTTTGTTCCGGACTGGGTGTCAAATCTCAAGGGTTTCTGAGTTCCAGGTATTTTAACGAATTTCACGAAACTTTTACTTATCCAAGTTTTAATTATAACTTTTTTTGAAACCACAATTTTTTTTTTTATAGAATTTTGCCTAGCTGCTTAAACTTTAATTTAAGTCCTCAAACATTAGAAAATTCTTTATGGTACAGAAAATATAGCACAAAAACCAAAAATATTGTGAACCACGAATTCAATTCGTCACAAATCAAAGCAGATGTTGCTAAAACTAAAATTAAATTTAATTTAATATTCCTTTACTAAAAAATTTGGAAAAATACAAACTCCTTATCCAATAATTTTTCAAATTTCTTAAAACAAACACTAAATTCTCGTATGAAATTCACCTAATTCGGCTAGCATTTATGTTTTTCTTCTCTCCAATCCATTTCTATTCAATTGCATATTTGAAATTATTTGCTTACATGGGACACATCCTTACCAATCGTACACCAATTTTAGTTTTTGTAGAAATGTGTTTAAAAATTTATTAATCGCATTTACAAACTCCATTTTGTACAAAAAAATTAAATTTTCCTATAAAAAAAATTTTTTTTTATTAAAATAAATGTCAAAAATTGTATGGCATGTCTTTGAAAATTCGTTCCAGCCGGATAATTTTAATAACTTCAGATGCCAAATGATTTCTAGATTTCGAAAATATTTTTTTCAAATTTTTAAATTGCACCCAATGTGAGAAAAATGCATATAAAATTTTCAAACCATATAAGTACCATTTCTTATAAAAATTGGCAAAAATAAAAAATCTATCAATTATCTTTACCAAGAAAACTTTCGAAAAAAATTTTTTGATTACTAGATTTTTTTTTTGTTTTTCCAAAATGAAAATTCTAGTTTTTCTTTTCAAAAATTTCAAATTTTTTAAAATCAATTTTTGTTTTTCAAATTTCGTTTCAATTTTATTATTATTTGTTACATTTCAATAAAAACATTAAAATTCAGATTTTTTATCGCAAATAACGGCTCACAAAAATACCAACTGTTTTTTTCGAGTGACTTTTGTCATCAAAAATTAATAATAGTTGATAGTTACAGCGCTTTAAATCAATAAAAAACAAAAGTAGTGAAAAATAGGGTCTTTAAAATCTTGACATAGAAATGATTTTTGTGCTACATCTTTTGTACCATAACATTTTTTTCATGTTTGAGGACTTAAATTAAAGTTTAAGCATTTACGAAATTATTTAGTTAGAAAAAACTGAAAAAATAAAAGGGAAAAATTTTATTTTCCTTAAAGGCACTTATTCCAAAGGCACATAAAATACAAAATCAAACAGCATGGCTATTTTAAGCCCTTTACTATGCCTTTCAGAAACTTGTTGTTTAAAGTTCCTATCTTTTTCGGAACCGAAGTTATAATCAAAAAAACTTGGATAAGTAAAAATTTTGTGAAAATTCGTCCCTGGAACTTGGAAACCCTAGAGATTTGGCACCTAGCCCGGAACAAAAAATTTACCCATTTTCGATCTTCTAACCAATGATATATGTTGTTGTATACCTTTCAGAATCACCCTGTATATGTGCACACACATATGCTTTATGAACTTTTTCTTTTAAATTTCTTTTTAAGAAACGTACTCTTATGTAAAAGCAAATATAATTATCATAAAATGTTTACGTGATCACAATTTCATAATAACATAGTTAATGCAAATTATAAACGAATCAGAAGAATAGAATATTTTTTTCATGGAATTTTAGGGGTCAAAAATAGCCCTAAGAGTTAAACATGATGACAGAACACGCTTGTTCTTAGTTAAAAGTTGTATTATTACAAATTTTTTAGTATACATTTATATGTATCTTCAAAATTTGGACTGCGCAACAAAAACTAATTTTAATATTTAAGTCTAAATTTAAACTTTATACTTTGCTACCGCTTTTTTATATATTATAACAAAAAATTCCATATTTTTCAACTTAAAGTGCACAAATTTCAACTTTTCAATTTTTAAGAATAGCGCCATTCTTATTCTATAAAAATTAGTACCAAATCTTGTCACATGATTGTTAAGTCATCCGAGAGCTAAATATTTTTTTGCCAGTATATCTGCATATAACTATTTTAAATACCTATATCTACATAGGTCTATCTAGATATATTTATATTCATATACCTATTTATCGTTTTCACTCACAAAACATTTAACTTTAATTGACTAAATATTTGTGATCAAATAATTTTGCATAAATTAAGGGAGATCTCAGATTCTTAGGGTTTCAATTTTCGAAAATTTTATATTAGTCTAAAGTTTAAGTTTTTTTATATATTTTATATTAGTCTAAAGTTTTTATTTTTGCTTATTAATTTTGTTATTTTTATATTTTTGGTTTAATAGAATTAGTAAAATTAGCGATTGAAGGTAGTTAAAAAAAAATCTAATGGCTAGACCAAAATAAATATTTGTCGATACCCATAAAATTTTGAAACTTGACTTTTACTCGAGTTGAAAAATTACTGAAAAATCAATTCCAATTAACGATTAATTATATACATTTTCAGCACTTATATAAGAGCTATAACACGGAAGAGAAGGGATATGAAAAAATTTTTATTCTGGAGAAGCTGTTTGTAAAAATTTAACCTACATTATTTTAAAAGATATAGAATATTTAATGAATAGACGGACAGACTATCCGACAGACTTAATTTTACTAAAAAAATTTTTGACCAAATACGCCAAAAATGTAAAAATTTGAGAGGCATAATAAATATAAAATCGATTTAGTTAGAGTTATTCAATAATTATACTAGTAAGATTTTTATTTTCAAAAAATTCTTATTTTTATTTGGCAATAGTTCAATACGAGTACTTGAAATAATCCTATACATACATATACATATATAAATATTTAGATAAATTTTTGGAAATGTAATACTTAGCATGTCAAAAATAAAATATTAATAATTGTATATAAAGTTCACGATATCATATTTCATTTATTAAAAATTTCGTGTTCCAAATAAATAAAATATATATGTATGTATATATAAGAGATAAGTGCATATATATATATACTTTCAATATAAATTCGAAATTAAAATAAGATAATAAATAGATTTGTTACATTTTTATAATAAAAATTTTAACATTTAAGTTTTTATTATGCTTTTTATATGTTGTACTCGATTATTAATGAAAAAAGAAAAGAAAATATAAATATTTTTTTATTTATTTTTGTTTTTACTATATTAGTATGTATTATGTAAATTTAATATTTTACATAAATATTTTCTTCAAAATGGAAAATAAAAATAGAATTAAGGAAACTAAGCATTAATGTTGTCACGAAATTGTAAACGAAAAAATAAGTTTCCAAAATTATTTGTCATTTCAAAGATTTTAATAAATTTTATTTAAAAAATTTTTTTGCAAATATTTGCATACGACGTACATATATATACCAACTTAAATCCTAATGAAATATGAATTTTATATTTAAATTTTTTTTAGCAAAATGATTAAAAATTTATAAATATCATTTATATCCTCCTTATACTGGGCCTGTAATGTACATACATACAGTATATTAGCATTATTTACATTTTAGTTTAATATAATTTAAACTATTTTCACAATATATGCATATTCTATACAGTGCACAAAATATGCTAACAGGAAACTATTATACCTTGAAATATTGAAAAATTAAGAAAAAAAAAAACGAAATGAAAAAGTTTTTTTATTGAAAATTTTTCATACATATTTTTTTATTTTTAGATTTTGTTTTAATATAACTAGTTGACATAATGTACACCACTAAAGTTTGCAAACGGAAACCGCTATTCAAAGTTTACCTTTCATATTTACAGTTATCAATTGTTTTGTAAGACTGGTTGGAAGTTAAAATAGTAAAGAATATAAGACATAAAAATATTCTTTCTTCCTTTTTTCCTATTTCGGAAACATTTAAAATATTTTGCACACAAATTAGAACCCATGTTATTTTATACATTTGTGTATATGCAATGCAAGTACACATGTTGTAGTTGTAAAGTATAAAAATATCGCAATTTGCTGCTCATAATTTGCAGTTTACATATAAATTGCATATACGAAAATTGAACTTTCAACCCTCCCTTTAATGCAATAGAAGTTTAATGTAAATATTCCTTTATTGTAAAAGCATATGCAAATATACATGCATACATATACATACATGCAATTGTACATATACAGGCATACCTCGTTTAACGCTACCTCTTTTAACGCTGTTTCGTTATAACGCTCTTTTGAAAAAAACATTTTCAAAAATTATTATATCTCTTGGAATCACCAAATGTAAATATTTTATATTGTCACATTAAAAAAAGGTGATTTCAGGATGAAACCGTTACTCATTTATCATTCTGAAAGTCCCAGGGCATTGAAAGGGATTTCTAAACAAACAATGCCCGTGATTTGGATGACGAACCGCAAAGCGTGGATGACTGCAATTTTATTTAAAAAGTGGTATCAAGAGCATTTCCGTCCTGCCGTAAAATCGTATTGCGAAAGAAATGGATTAGAACAAAAAGCATTGTTGATTCTTGATAACGCACCTGGACACCCTCAAAATTTATCAGAAGTTCAAACTTGTTTGCCTGTTGAAATTATTTTTACACCTCCAAATACCACATCAATTTTACAGCTGATGGACCACGGAGTGATTGCAACTTTCAAGGCTTATTATATTCGAAAAACTTTTAAGCAACTAATTGAAGCTGTTGACAATAATGAATGTTCCATCAAAGAATTTTGGGAGAACTATAACATCAAGAAAGCCATAGAAAATATCGGTTCATCAAGGGGTGAAATGCAACAAAGTTGTTTCAAAGGATGCTGGAATCGCTTGCTTATTAAAACGATTGAAGATAAAATAATTAATAAGCTACCACAAGTTGTGACAGAAATAACGGAAATAGCAAACAATATTGGATTTGAAGAAGTTGATGAAGAAAACATTCAGGAACTTATTGAAAGTGCTGACCATGGTATCTCCAATGAGGATCTTATTGATAGTTTATTACAAAATCAACCAAATATTGAGGAGCTAACACCAGAAACGGAAGATGTTACAGAAAATATTTTAACGAAAAAATATTTGGAAAATAATCTAGGAATAATCCAAATTGCTTTAGAAGATTTATGTGAAAATGATCCCAATTTTGAAAGTTCTTGTGCTATAAAACGAGGAGTAATGAATACTTTATCACCCTACATAGAACTCTTAAAGGAGAAGAGAAAATTATCAAAGCAATTAAGCTTAGACATATTTTTTAAAAAAGACAATTAAATATGAATTTACCTTTATTTTGTGAAATGTATTAATGTATTTATTTAATTTTATTGAAATTCTTATTTATTTTTTAATTTTTAAATGAAGTATGTATAAATGAAATAGTGTATGTATAAATCAAATAAAAATATAATACTTATATTTTTTAAAAAAATAATATATAAGATCGTATATTATACGATCTTATTATTTTTGGCTTGAAAAAGTACCAAAAAAAGTTGGTAGTTTTAACGCTGTTTCTGTTAACGCTCAACTTCTAGGAACGCATCATGAGCGTTAAACGAGGTATGCCTGTATATAAATTAAGGGGTGATGGAAAACTTTTTTGCATTATGTAGTATTTTTGTTTAATTTTTTTTTGTTCTTTTGAAAATAAAACAACAAACACGCAACTGTAAATTTGCTAAGACAATAGAAGGTTTTTGTTTTAGTTCGAAATTCAATAAAAAATTCTAGCTTAAACTTATGTTGTACATATAAATACAATATTAAAGTTTTTAATATTCGCGAGACTAAAAAAAAGTTTTAAAATGTTCACAGGTGTAAAACAATAATAGTTTTATTACATACCTATTTAGAAACGTGTCTATGCTCTTTGGCCTTTTACGTATACGGAAATAAAATTATAAAATTTACAAGGTATCATAAAAGTAATTTTATTTTTTTTTGCTTTTAAATGCAAGTTACATAAATACTTGTATGCATAATATGTAGAACAAATTTTTAGAATTTTAGGTCTCTAAATTAATTTATATATATTTAATAGATAATTACAAATCAAGGCTTTTTCAATAAAATTTAAAGCATAGCTTTAATTTTATTTCTTAACGCTATTCAGGTGGTGATTTCTGACAGTTTTATTGCAAAATATTATGGCAAAATTATTATTATATAAAATAAAATACGATAAAATATGCGTATTCACAATATAAGTAAGTGATCACAAGATCACAAGATACGAAGTAGGATACGTACAACATTCAAACTGGTGAGAAAACAATTTTGCGTTTGAAAGTATACAACGGAAATTTTTCTATAAAATTTTCTTTTTAGCTAGTTTCATATTTAATTATTAATTATGCTCATTATTCAATGTTTATGTATCTTCAAATTAGGAACATTTCGTTCAAAAAGATTTGGACTAAATTCCAAATAAAATAATTTTTTTTTAAATATCGACACAATTACTTCATTAACTAATATAACATTAATTTATTATATTTAAAATATTATACTAAAATCTGCATAGTATCATTATATAAAAATATTTATAAGATAAACTGAAAGTAAACGCATATCTAAAGTGGTCATACGCATATCTAAAGAAATATGATCTTTTGACCATTTTGAAGATCACATTTCTGCTTTGTAAATAAAATATTTCATAACTCGTAATATTTTTGCTCAAAGTAGAAACAATTTTTATCTTTATATAACATAAATAGATTAATATTTCAATACTTCTTATAGTAAATCGAACTTAAAATATTTCAATTCTGTGGATAAAATAAAACTAGATGTACGAGTATAATAATTTCATAAATAATTTAATTTTGATATATGAATTTTCTAATAAAGGTTAGCAATTTATATGCTAAAAGAGCTAAATAGCTCTTTTTTATGGACACAAGTTTGTCAGTATTCAAATATAAACATTACCAAATGAGAAAGAATTTATTTGCAATGTACTATAAATATTTCTCAATTCCTCGAAAAATAATTTGAATTTAACTACAAAATAGCTGCAAAATTATTGTAGTCCATTCAGAAAATTCTTTTATTCTATCTAGGTAATTTATTTTCATAAATGGGTCAAAAGTATAACTAATTTGAAAACAGTATGTGACTGTTTTAAATTAAGTTTTAAAGTATGGTTATGTTGATTTCGGATACAGTTTGTGTCTGTTCTCTTTAAGAAAAAATATCGAATTTAGGTAAAAAGCAGTTCTTTCGATTTCAAGGTAAGATATTGTTTAACTTTGTGTCTTATACGGCAAACTCAAAAATTTTAAAAAATTCATTTCTTTTCCTTTTTTTTGTTCTATGAGAAACTGTCGAAAATTTTTAGTACTTATATATTATATGGGGATTACGTTCACTTTGTTATGACGTATGCAACACAAGGAAAACATTTGCAACCCTATACAGTTTGTAGATATATTCAAAGTTTTTAAGTCGACCTAAATATGCCTATTATCCCTTATTGAAATGCTCATTCGAGAACTTAAAAATTAAAGATTCGAATTTATTTAGAGATTCGAAATTGGCAAGATGCATATTTTTAGTGCATACATATGGGTATTAAATGTGAGCAGGATTGACCCAATGGAGCTGCTTTGGAAAAAATTTAACAAATATGATCATGTGGAATATTTTTGGAGAGGTATATGAAATCTCTTCAGCTTTTGTTCAAAAACTTTTTAGAACATCGGTCCTTCAAGATCTTTGTCGATGATTCATAAAACACATTTTAAGAAATACTTTTCTTTGGAAATTAAATTTTTTTTGTAATTAAAGAAAAATTACATTTTTAAGGAAAAAATATTCACTAAATTTTATTGTAATTGAATTGTAATGTGAATTTGAAAATAAAATAAAAAAAGAAAAAAATTTTATCAAACTTGATTTAAATTCAAATCCTTTGTCAATAATTTGAGAAAGTATAGTTAAAAATTTTCAATGAATTTAAACAACTTTATTTATTTTTACCAGACTTTTGTTGATAACAGCAAACCTAATTTTGAGAATCAATAAATACTCACATATATATATTTTCAGAAACTATTTTATATTTTTTTAAAAATGCATATTTCGAATAATCTTCGACATTTTTTAAAAAAATCTACACATAATTATGACAATTTACTTTAAATAAGGAAATTCAGCTCTCATAGATAATGTTCGTACATGTACTTGAGAAAAATTCCCAAAAAAATTTTAATAAAATTACAATGTTTTTATAATGTAAATAAATACAAAATTACTCAATTTGACCGACCACAGTTTAATAAATTGCTTATTTAGCACATTTATTATTTTTTTTGCGCATAATTTTGTTCTTAGGTTTACTGAAATTTTCTGTTCACATACGAGAATGCATATATAATAAAAATTGTTCCCGATAATAAGATTGAAGTATATTTTTGAAAAATGAAATTTCGCTCATTATAAAAAAACAAAATATTAAATATAAATTAATGTCGTAAATTTTTCTTAAACAAATGACAGTACAGTTTCCTTACAAATGAGTGGTGGACCAATGGATTAAGTTATAAAAGAATTTTATAACTTAAATTTTGTTCTCTTAAAAAATTTTTACTTACACGTGACATTTCTATGTATTCCTTTTGTGGAGTGAAATCTTTAATGTGATATTTTTGCAATAAAGACTTTAGATTTGATTTGAAAGTTTCAAAATTATCCAGAAATATTTTGATTCTGTGTGATTTCAGTGACGTTCTAGAGAACACTTTGAACAAATATTAATTCGAAATTTTCCTTTTTTTTTTATTTGAAAAAATAAAAAAATATTTTTATTTTTTTTATTTTCCTTTTTTTTTCTTTATATTTGTAATCTTTTGAGGGTTTTATTTTTCCAATGAAAATTTTTATGTGCATATAAGAAGGTTTTGTTTTTCTTTTTTCCTTTTTCAAAAAATTTATAAAAAATTTTTTTCAAAAAAAAAATTTTTTTTTTTTTAATTTTAACTTTGTATTTTTTTTTGTTTCTTATTTTACTTTTTAGTTTTTTTTTCTAGCTCGCGCGTTCAAAATTTTGATGAAAAAGTAAGCAACCGATCAAGTTCTAATTCAAAGGGGAACTAAATTGATTTCTTTTTCAATTTTTGCCACAAAGAATATAAAAATATGCAAAAATATTTTAGTGAATGTTTTTTAAATATAATTGTTATGTGAATATATAGAAAAAACAACAATCTACCTTAGAGACAACAACATTGATGTCGGTTGATTTGGAAACAACACACGATGACGACTCCAAAAAAAAAACTATAAACAGCAAAAAAAAATAATTTAATGGAGAAGGAAGAAAGGATATGTTGTTTCCATTTTTTTATTTTTTTTGTTTTTGATTTCAAAAAAGCGAACATTTCAAAAACTAAACTAAAAATATGGTAAATTTTCATTTACAACATTTTATCACGAGCATGCCCCCTTTTTTCAAATATAAGTTACTCATCGAATTGCATTTTTATACAAGCTTGTCACTGTCTTTACGTAAAATTTTTGTGTATATAATTAGGCATAAATGTTTTTTTTGTCTTTAGTATAATTTATGTTAACATAATAGTTCCCATCCATAATCAATTTGGATATGATTTATATTTCATATAACAATTATAATTTTATATTTAGGTATAAAAAAAAACATTAAACTAGTTTGGAGAGATCTATTGAGAAAACTGTTATCGAATTAAAATGTCATTTTTGTTTTCGCTCATATGATTACCGTATACCTTGAAAACGCCTTGATTTATGCAATTTTTATATACATTAAAATTTTTGAATTACGTATATATGTATGTTTATAAAATCATACAGTATTCTGCTTTATCAGTTTTTAAAAAAATTGTTAAATATTAAGTAAATTCCTACTTAATGTTTTATTGAATAATTATATTAATTTTATTATATTGAGAATTCTAAAAACTGCTAAATATATGATTTGTTTGTGGAATTGAAATTTGGAATTTTATGTAAAATATGAGAATTACACGTCACGAACAAGATTTTATTGTTTAATGATTTCAATTATTTTGATGAGACTTTATGTGAGAAGAATATTTTCTTTTTAACAAAATTGTTATTTGATTTAAAATTATATTTTATAATATTATTTAATTTCAAAAAATAAATGATCATTAATTGCAATAATATGACTCAGTATACTGCCAACGTAAAATTTAGGGCGCTTGCGTTATGACACTTTGAAATTTATTACTAAAATCATATGCAATAATTTTACATACTGAGACAAGTACAAAATTGTAAATTAATTAGCGCAAGATTAACTACTTACATACACATTAACGAAATAAACACATAGTTAATACTCTATTATTTATGAACCTTCGATTTATTTGGTGAATTAAATGAAGAATTATTTGAATATCCAAAAATCATATGAAAATGACAGACAGCAAGCAAATACATTAAGGCTATCCAAAAATTGTATAGTAAAAAATAGAAAGAATATAAAAATTCAAAATTCGTACGTGTATATTTTGACAAGAAATTGAAATGATATTAACAAAAATAAAT